ATTTTAATTGTTTTAATGCTTTAGTTTATAGAAATTTTAGCTTATTTAGACAAATTCGGAACTAAATAAGGTTACTTAATAGGACATTATATAAACAATTTGTAAAAGCCTTAAATATATACATAAATAAATGTGGTCTTAAGTTCTCTAAAATACAAAACTTTATTAACTAAAAACTGATAGTAAAAAATAACTTATTAAGAAAGATTAAGAAAGCATCATATTGAAGCAGAGTTTCGAAAATTTACAAGTAAACTAGCTTCTAAAGAAGTTTAAGTTTAACATATTGTAGCATACTACATAGATCTTAACTCTTTAACTTGGTTATTCTTTTTTAATTTTAGTAAGAATCCTTTAATACACGTATTAATTATAATACACGAACTAAAAATAAAACAATTTTTAAATGATTTTAAATGAAAACTGAAGTTTTGTAGTCATTTTTTCGATATTTTGTATATATAAGTGATTATTTTTTACTTGAAAGAAAAAAATACTATGCATTAACATAATATTACGTACACAAACATACAATTTGTATGCATATATTTAAACATTTTAGTTCTTAGATTGCATTCAAGTGATTTTTATATAAGTTCATATGCCATTAACACAAAACGAACGGTTAAGGACTTTAATATGATGGTATAGCACCACTAGAATTCAAAGTATTATAACAAGTACGAGAATATATTTATATTATGTATATTATGTATATATATATAAACTTTATAAGGACATGTGATGTAGTGTAATGTATACTATTTTTTTTGCAGTGGCTTATTTTTATTTTCTATACTATTCAAATGTCCTTATCTATATAAACACACATATTATATAAACTGCAAAAACAATTTGTTTTAGTAGTACTTATATTACATGTAATATCTATACACAACACACTATTACGTTTGTATATGCAAATTTAAAACAAGTTTTTCATATATATACACATTATGTATAAATTCTTTAGGTTTTTTTAATAAATATACATCATAGGGTATATATGGATTTCATTAAAGTTTTTTCAAGCTCTCATTTTTATATTGAAACTATTATTTACATAATATGTATAGTATAGAAAAAGAAAAACCAAACAGGTTAGGTAATTATTCGTTAAATACAGAGAAAAGAAAGGATTTACTATGAAGATTTAAAAAAAAAAAATTTGTAACATTATTCTTATTATATATAGATCTGAATTTCCATTTCTTTATATAAGAACACCATATTAAGTATGTTATACACTGTATAAAGGAATAGTAAATTTTGCCTTCCGCAATATTCTTACATAATATATGTATGCCCCTATTTTCTGAAGTGTTAGTGTAGTTTGCTAGACTGATTATATGAGTTTTTACATCTGGCCTCTATAAAAGCAGTTCGGATTGATTTTATTTCCTTAGAAATAGGAAATATTAATATCAAGTTATACTTGATTAACTAACCCCTATAATTGCATTCTCACATTATAAGGTCCATTATATATTTTTAATAATTTACTTTAAATTAAAATAATAGTAAAAATTTTCCGATTCCATTAGATAAAAGTTAGTATGTCAAGCGCTAGAAATCACTTAAAATCTGAAAACAAAAAAAAAAAAATAATTGAATCTCCTTTTTATCTTGTTTTTCTTAAAACTGACGGGAATGGCTCAAATTTTTTTCCCATTTTAAAAAACATAATAAAAAAATTTCTTTTTTTGTTTATTTGTCATCAAATACAACAACACCTACTCAACTTGAATCAAAAAGAATTTTCCCGCATTTACTAATAGTAAAAAAAAAAAAGAAAATTAAAAAAATAAAAACAGAAAATTTTCTTTTTTTATTAAAGGTAAGATGGTATGTACATACTAGCACACACTATACTAAAGGAGTTAAAAAACATTATAAAAACATTGACTGCAAGAATAGGTGAAAATTAATGTTTTATAATATAGGAGAAAAAAAGACAAGAAATCAAAAAAAAAATGTTGAAACAAAACATTTTAGTAAAAGGATTTTTTCAGCTCTTGTTTCTATATCTTTTCTGTACTTATTCTTTACAATATTTTGAATGAAATAAAAGACAAAGTCGTAGTCTATAAAAGACAAGAGGGAAATTACATATTTATATACATGTATAATTGAATGTAGAAGAAAATGACATAAAAATTGTATCAAAAAGATTAAAAATGAAAATATGTTTGCAAATTATTAAAGTTCTTCATGTTATACTAATTTTAACAAAATAGTTTTAAAGGATTTTTTTTTTTTGAAACTTTTTAATAATTTTTATAGTATTTAAAAACTTTGCTATATCTTAATACTACTACATCTTGATATTACAAATATACATGCTATAATAATGTTATTATAACAGTTATATAATTTTAATAGGTTTACGATTGAAAAGAGTAACTTTGCTGTAAAAAATTTTAAATGGTATAATTACACAAACAAACATGATATTATGTAAATTAAATGATTTTTTTTTTGTAAAAATTAAAGAGTACAATGAAAATTTAAGATGTTAAAGATAGTTGGAAAAATTTCTGAACTGAATTTTTCTAAATTTAATTGTAGTTTTAGTAAAAAAAAAAAAAATTTTTTTTAACGGGAATATCTGTATGGTTGAATAAAATAACCTCCATTAGAACAAAAACTGCAATCAATTTATGAAATAATTAAAAAAGTTGAAAACTATTGCCTATTACTTGTTGAACTACTTTTGTTTATATGAAAGATCTCTTTCAAAACAATGACTTACATAATTTCTCAATATTTATATTGTCGAATTCTTTTCACAATAATTGCATAAATATTTTGTCATTAAAAATATAAATCTAATTTGCAATAATTAAAAATTATATGTAACAGTGAGCCCTACTTTTAAAAATAAATTCAAGCCTAAAATTTTTTAAATATATTAGAAATATTTTCATTTCAACAAGAGGAAAATTTTTTATATAGAATATTGCATTAAAATAGCATTCGAATTATAGAGAGAGGTTCGTAATATTTTTCACACAGTTATAATCACATCATTTAACGTTATTTTAATATATTTTACAAATATTCATTTATTTATAAAGAAGGACATGTCTTCTATAAAACATGTAGCAATTAATTAAATTCTAATAAAAGAAAATTTAAAATTTTCTTTCGATAAAATTTCTAATGCAAAATTCCCAACTATTTATTGTTTACTTTATATTATTTCCATTAATTTTAATACCATGATAAACAACGTAATATTTAAGTTTTTAGTTCATATAAAAATATGGAACGATAGCGTGTAAAATATCTTATCTTTTCTTTATAAATTTTAGAGTTTCTAATTGAATGTAGGATTGTAAATAAAATTTTATTTTGAAATTCCTTTTCCCAAAATAAAATTAACTGGGTTCTTATTAATGTTGTACATGTCTTGTTTTTAAATTTTATTGCGAACGAGCTTTGGTTTTACGAACAATCTTAAATAATAAATTTTATGAAATTTTTCGAAAATATTTGGTGCCAATTCTCGACTTTCTTTACTTAAACTTTAATTTGCGCTCTATATATACGATTTTTATATTATTTCGTACCAGTTCGTTTTAATATCCATTTTTATTACATTGTTTCGAACAATTTAACTACTTAAATATCTCTAACTAAATAACCTTTATTCATGACTTCTACAAACTAACGTAAGTGAATATAATAGTTTAATTATCATTTGATAATTTTCAAATATTCACTTAGAAGAATAGAAAGTATGTGTATACACTATCGAGTTATAAGGGCGTGTAATAAAAATCAATAATATGTGAATAATTTCATTTTTTTTTTCTACTTTCTAAATTTTTATCAAGGTAATCTGTTAATTTTACTTTTACATAATATATACATACATATATATTTATTTATAACATAGGAAAGTATAATAGAAATAACGAAATTTTATGTGTCGGCCAGCAAATTTATTAATGTTTTTCTTCCTTATTCACTTTTTATTTCTATCATCAATAAAAATTTGGAAAAAAAAAGAAAGAAACTCTCCCCTGCTTTTAAAAAAATTTTCCTCTTTTGTTAGATTATATTACACATTTGTATATAATGTACAGATATTATAAAAACTCATCAACATAATACGATACTGCATTATATTAGACAAACTATTAAAGCTTTAAGAATGATATTTGTTAAGTAATTAAACCTTTTACGTTTAATATATACACCGTAAATAGAAAAGTACCCACCCCAAAACTTGAAGTAGTTGAATAAAAATTAAAAAGAAAAACGATATAAAATGTTAGAAAATTTTATTGGGATACATCAATCTCAGATAGGAAAAATACAAAAAAAAAAAACAAAATCTCACCTGACTGGTCATTATCAAAATAAAATACATTGCACCAGAACACGAAATAAATTTTCTGTTGTATTTATTTAAAGGCAGGGTGAATACTATAGTTTTTATTATTGCTTCCATTGTATATTGTGTATGTAAAATCAAAATAAAAAAAATAGAATATTTGTTAGAGAAAGTCACTTTAAATTCTATATACACACACCTATAAATTTTTGATTTTTCAGATAGTAGTGAATAGTTTTTAATATTAATCACCAGTCTTGGTTTTTGAGTATAAGAAACGTTTTCGTAGCTATTTGAAGCAATTTGACAGTTTATTGTGATTATTTTGAACAAATTATTTAAAATTAATTAAATTATTAAAATACAAGTACTTAAACAAACGCGGTTCATTTTTAATTCACTGAACAGAAGAAAGAACGAATAACAGAATTGAAAGAGTGAGAGAAATACTTCTGTACGCGAAAAATAGCGTATTAAAGCGAATATTTTGATTTTTTCAAAAATCACACAAATTTTCGTAACAAGTTATTTGTAAGTCGGTACTGAGAGGGTTAATATGATAATAAGAAAAACTAATAAAAATTTAATTGAAATTTGAAATTAAAATGGATTTTTTCCTAAAATTATGCAATTTTGGAAAATTTAATTGTGTACTTACTTCTTCTTGCTGATGTTACATGATCCATTTCTTTTAATGATGATGATGACGGTTTTGATGATATATTCATAGCATTTAATATTAATTCACCTTCAGTTAATTGTTTTTCAAATCTTTGATCTTCTTCGATTTCGTGTTCGTATTGTAAATTTGCTAATGAAGTTTCAACAGAATCTGAATGTATTGCTAAATCTCTTTTTGCCTTATAATTTTAAATAAAAAAATCAAATTATTACAATAATTAAATAAAAATTTTGAAATAATAAATATTTTTGAAATAATATTTTAAAGATATTAAATTTTTTGGACGAAATAAAATAAATATATTATGATGTATATAATAACATATAAAAATATTAGTATCTAACTAAGTAATTATACTTGTTTCTTAATTTTTGTGTTAAATTTGATTGAATCAACTAAAAATAATTGCTCTAAATAATTAAATAAACATTTAATTCCACTACATATTTTATATTATTGTAAAAATCTTAATTAAGTAAGTATACAGAAATAAGTAAGTAATATTAAGTAAGTTTACAAAAATAAATTAATATTTTCATAAAAAATCAAATGAAATACACAATATGCATGAATTAGTTTATGTAATAAATGGTATTTATATACTTTGTATTTCTAATATCTTTGTACATATATAAAAATTATTACAAAACACACATTTTTTCTTAGTACAATAAAAAAATTTAATTATTTCTTTGTATAATATTTTTGTGTATTTTCAAGAGTTCTATACATAAAAAATTAGCTCACTTCGAAATAGAAAAAATAGAAAAAAATTAAATTTTATATAACCAGATGTTCAATAGTTTAAACGATTTTTTAAAATAAATAAACATTTTAACATTAATACCAAAAATTTCTATTAAAACACAAAAATAAAAAAAAATTAAATTAAATAAACTTACCTTTTCCAAAGCGTCATAAGCTTTTTTATTTTTTGTTGTTGAATTTTTTGATTTTCCAACAGCATTAAATGCCAATTTTAAATCGTCTCGACGATCCTTTAAATTTTTGAATTTTCCCCAAAAATAAAAAGAAAAATAAAAATAAATTAAATAAATAACAAATTTTTAAAATTTTAACAAAGTTAAAAATTTAAATTATAAAATTTTACGGAGAAAGCAATAAGACAAAAAACAATTTCAATTCTTCAAATGAAAATTAACAATTCCAACAGTTTTCGAGATAAGTGGATTTCTAGTTTTTACTTCATGTAAAACTATAAAAATACACAAAATAATTGAAAAGGTAAGAAAGTAAATAAAAAATCACTTAAAGATTTTCATTTACATCTTTTATTTAATGGACAATTGCTGAAGTGAATAATTTATAGATATGTTTGTATGTTCCAATTCATGAACTACAAGAACACATAAATACAAAGTTGATTTGATTGAATATTTGAACTGTGGGTATTATGAGCAATTTCCACAGTTTTTGAGACAAGTGGATTTCTTGTTTTCAACCTTTTTAATAAATCTCCCCTTCAAAAGTGTCTATAATACAGAAATAGAATCTCTATAAGATTACAGAATTAAATTCCGTCTGACAGATAGATTCTACTGTTTTTCTATTTTCTTAAATTTTAAATTTATGCAACTCTAACGCACCTTTTTTTTATCCCTACTGTTAAATACAATTTTAATTTTATATAAGAAAAAATTCAGAGCAAACTGCAAATAAACTTAAAAAAAATCAAGTTTTCAGCATTATCAAGCATTAAATAAGTTTTCATTAATTTGCATTAAATATCAAATTAGTATTGGATTTACGTACCCACCATTTTAAAGTTGTCGTACACATAAATGATACCTACAGAACCGTGTCTATCATTCAACAATTTGTTTAAATTTTATTTGATTTAAATGCTTACCTAATTTTTGTACATAGCATTGCTTTATTAAAACTTGAAATTTACTAAAATTCAATCAACTTCAAATGTACTCTACTTTAAATATAAGAAAATTCTAACAACAACTCTAAATGATCTCAAATGATCAAAAAATTTAATTTGAATACGAAATCAATATATTATTAAAATAAATTTTACAATACAAAATAATTATATGTTAGCGACATGGAAATATGTAAATAAAAATAGGAAAAAGAAAACAAAATAGAAGTGTAACACCCGCACTTGCATGTATATAGTTTTTCTTTATTTATTTAGACAATCGCGTTTCTTTTAAAATATATTTTTAAAAACTCTACACACTTTCACTTTATTCTTATATACACAATAAATTTATTCTCAATTTTCTTTCAATTGTTTTTATTTATTTCATTCGCTTTTTTCTTGTTTTTTTTTTTTTTTGTTTTTTTCTTGTCGTTCCCGAGACACAAAATTGAAAATTTTTCAGTGAGGTCGCGACTTTACACGCTTTTAAGAGGAAAATTCGGCATAAACTGACTAAATAAGTGAATCGTCTGTAAACCAAAAAAAAAAAAATTTTTTTTTGAAATTCAGTTTTTTTTTAATTTTGTTTTTCCTCTTCTATTCTAAAAATTATTTTGAAAAAACAACAAAAAAAAAAAAAAACAGAAGAGTTCTGTGTTTTTGGTTTTTTTCTTTGTCCGATTTAAAAAAAAATGTGGAGAAAATCTTTAAAAGAATTTCCGCGATTTAAGAAAACTTATGCATATTATGTATATAAGAATTTAAGAAAAGGAAAATTTCATATAGCCACAAGTAATATAAATCTTGTAGTCAATATAAAAGTCTATGTTTGTATTATGTAAAATAGTTGATGATTTACTATATAATGACTTAGTGATTAAAGTCGAAAATATACATACATACATATGTATGAAAAAATATAATCAACAATAATATTATAAATGTAATATTACAATTTAAAATGGGTCAAAGTAAATGAAGACATCAAAACTGTTATTATCTAAGTGTATTTTAAAATTTACCACATATTTACATAAATATGTACACATTGCATATTGCACACTAAATTATAATTAAAAAAATTATTAAATTTTTAATTCGAAAATTGTTATAAGATTTCATAAATGAATAAATTATGCTTATATAATTTATTCAATAATATTGCCTTTAATACAATCTTCTCACATTTAATTTTACCCTCTTGTATACACAAAATATAACTTTAATTTTAATTCAAATTGAACTTGAACATTTTAATAACAATATACGAAGGGTTGATTATATTGATTTAACTTAAAGCTATATTGATTAATTTAATCAAAAAAACATAATTTCAATTCAGTCAAATGTAAATTTAATATTTATAAAAATTATATATGTACATAAAACTAAATGACATTTTATCATGCAAAAATCAAATAAAAAATTTGAGTTCAATACAAAAATTTGAGTAGGGTTGTAAAAAAAAATTTTTTTTTTTTTCATTATTTTATTCATATTTTTTTGTTTTTTTACACAAATACTTTGTGGTAAAATTTTTGGATAATTTTGTAATTTAAAATGTACTGAAGGTTTGAAGAAAATTGTTTATTAGTAAAACCTTTTACATTATTTGATTGTAAAAATTTTCTTCTGTAGAATCACAGTTGAAGTAGCTACACTACTGCACCCAGTAATATTTTCAAATAAGTTGAAATTTGATTTCAACATTAGATAAATTCTGGTAAATGGCAATTGATTACAAACTAATATGCAATTTAAAACATTCGCTCCGTATTCAATTTTTTTTTTTTCTAATTTGACTCCTTTCCTTAATTACTTATAATCATATCCAAATAAAATGAATTGGCATTTTATTTTGTAATACGCCTCTGTATATAATTTCTGAAAAACCATATCCAAATAAAATATGATGGGCTTTTGAAAACCACTATTAAAATCTCATCTATATTATTGGATCCTACAACGTTTATAAGTTTTATAAAACGACAACATTTACATTAAGTACATCGGTGCCGAAATCAAATTAGATTCACTTAACCACTACGAATAATGTCATAATTTGATTTGAATTCAATTAATGAGTTGTAATTGTAGAAGACAAAAATTCTGAAAGTTTTAGATTTTGGAACTTAATCTGTTCCAACATTTCCAATATTTTGGCTATGCATATATTGTACATTAACGAATTTGCCTTTGTTTTAAATTTATTCACACTGAAAGAAAGTTTATTTTTAAACTTTCACTTAACTTTTCAATTTCTTGACTGAAAAATAATTTTCCGAAATCACTTGTTTTGTTTTTTTATTCTTTTTTTTTTTTGTACTTCTTAAGTCTTTTGTTGTTTCAATTCTATTTTAAGGAATAATTTCTCAGTATATTTTAACAATATTCGATTAATTTCTTAACGAAAATTCAATAAATTATATAAAAAGAAAGGTCATCACGTAAAATAATACAAACGAAAAAATAAAAAAAAAATGATGAAAAACGACAGAATTAAAGAATTTTTCAAAATCCTCTTAAAATGAGTGGCAGCGGGTGGAAAGATTTTAGACATCGCTGAAAATAAAATCATAAATTTTTTTTTTATATTTCTTTTCGTGTGATTGTCATCGCAGTCTAATTTAATGTCTACTCGGGAACAATTAAAATATAAAAATTCCCGAAAGCAAAAATTATTTTACAAAAATTAAAATTAATTATTTTAAAATACATTTTATTACCAAAACAACAGGAGGGTAATAATTTAATAAGAGGATTTAAAAAATTTAAAATCAGAATTAAATTAAAATTATTTTAATTATAATGAAATAAATCTTCAAAAAATTTAAGAATTTTAAAAATTAATTAACATGAAGCGCAAAGTGTTTGTTAAGTTATCGATAAAATTTTGTAATTCTGAGAAAGGAAAACGTAAAGAATAACTAACAATATTTTACTCGATATAATGGAATTTCTTGAAATTAAAGTTAAAATTAAAGTGTTCAATTAAAAATTCATTTGCAAAACTAGAAAATAAGTATACAAATTGCTAAATCGAAAAATTAACATGTATCAGATCGTTCGCCTTCAAAATCAAATTTGAAATTGTTTGTTGTATGTGGATACAGTTCGAACGTACTGATGATTTTTCAATTCGACGAACCGGGAAATGTTATCGGCGATCATTGTCCAAAACTGAACATATAGACAATATCAACGCCGTTCAATTTACAACTACATTACAATTACAATTAAAAATTAAATTTATTTTGTAACAAAGTCGACTGTATAAAAAGTTGTGTAGAGTAAGGAAAACATTTGTTTACATGAACCTATGAGACACAGGATTTTTATAAATATACTTTCAAAATATAGCGAACTTTTAGACAAGGAAAAAATATTCGCAAAGTTGTTTCGAGGTAAGATGTTAAAATTTTATTCTATCCAAAAAAAAACCTTGTTATATTAGAAATTAAATGGCACACTGTTTTAGAGGAAGAAATTACATAAAGAATGGTGAAATACTTTAATAAACAGTTATAATGGCTGATTTGAGAAAGAAGTTTGCCACATATTATTCGCATTTTTAAATTAATTTTGAAAACTTCTTTATTTTAATGTGTTCAACGTAAGAAATGGTATTCAATAAAAATTTCTCGTGCCATTCAAAAATAAAACGTCACAAAATATAAATCAATTCGCTTGTTCGACTTTTTTTCTTATAAAACCCGAAAATGTTACATTGCCCTAATTTTACATTGCACTATAAAATGAATTTAATTTTAATATTTTTAACATATATGTATTTAAACGATGGTGATTATTATTACTTTTAATATGCAATTGGATCTTTCATTTTAAGAAAAAAGTAAACATAATAAAAACCGCGATACTAAAACCAAAATTTTCACTCATAAAATAATTTAATAATTTAAAGTAATAAATTAAAAATAAAATATGAACATAAAGTATGTTTAAAAATTAAAAGAAAAAAAATTTTTATTACTTAAAATAGCTTATCATATAAATTTTGGTTTTGTTCCAAAAACAGAAACATATTATTAATGTGTGTAAACACGTACATGTACAAAATATCGAATACAAAATTGATAAAACCTA